AAACAGAACAGAGAACCTCTTTAACCCTGTATCTGTTAATTAATTTGTGGCAAAATGTTTTTTGTTTTTGTTCAGTTAATTTTCCCATAGTACAAAAGTGTTAGCCGAATCTAGAAGATACTGTATGGTCTTGTTCTTATAATATCTTTGGGCATTCTTGACAGCCCTCGGGTCTTAATTAACCACACTATCTTTCCAATGAGCCAGTCTCCTCCCAGATTGAGCCAGTCGTCCTTTCTAGAAATGCCTCTCTGCTCTATCTTGCAGTCATTCCTCTGGCCTTCCTGAGTTAATCCCCTGCTGGACACACTGAGTTTGTGTATTGATTTCCTTCCCTGAATTCACACTATTCCAATTCTATTAACTATGAAGGACATGTTTGTGCCTGACATAGTATGTGATCAACAAACTTAAGTAGTAGGAAAAGAAAAAATAGATAGATAGATAGAAGAAAGATAGGCAGGTAGGTAGAAGAAATAATAAAATGAAAGAAAAGATGGAAGCAATCAAGAAAGAATGCATGGAGGCCTCCCTGAGGCTGGAAGGTGCTTGATTTCCTTGCTCTTGGAGGAAAGCTAAAAAGATTATGAGTGGCTTTTACTTGAGGCCTCAGTCTTCAAATGCAGAAGCTGAAGATCATAATTCTGTCCATGAGATAATGGTTAGGGAAAACCAGAGAAAGAAGTTGAAATTAGTTCATCAGGGCAAAGGTGGTATGAGGTGAATATTAGGTATAGAGCAAATGAGGATGGGAAAAGTGGAAAAGACAGGGCGACTGGGAAACAACCTGAACACATTCGATGTTAGAACCAAGCTGCTGGCTGGGGTTACTGTTTGGTGCCAGCTGCTGACTGTGTAAGGACCAAGTCAGATTAAAGGAAAACCCACAGTTGCCAAATAGGTGCCCCAAGTATTTGAGTAAGTTAACATTCTTGAATATAAGCCATTTTCATGAGTTTTGTTATGCTGTATAAACTAAGACCATTAGGTTTGAGATCATGTGGGCTAATAGTCCCTGCATCCATGTTAGACCTATCCAGACAGCCTAAGCACTGTCCTGGCATGACTTATCTCTACATCTCTATGGGATCTTTAGAAAGATCTTTTGAACCAGCATCACCAACCTCTTAACTTATGTGCGATCTCATCTATTGCCTCTCTTGGAACGTTGGCTCCCAAGGAATAGGGAAAGAAAGCATCTAGTTCATTTTCTCATCTCTTATTGAGTCTGATACAGTGAGTTCATATAGCATGTTCTTTAAAAGTATCAATAAATATTGTTATCTACCGCTTAGGTTCTGGAATAGTTAATTCAATTCTTAACCTTTATTTTAAATTTTATTTTACTTTTATGTGTATGGGTGTTTTGCCTTTATGTATGTGTGCACCATGTGTATGCAGTGCCTATGGAGGCCAGGAGAGGGCGTCAGACCCCCAGGGACTGCAGTTATAGGCTGTTGTGAGCTACCATGTGAACTCTAAGAAATCAAACCAGGATCCTCTGAAAGAGCAGCCAGTGCTCTTAACTGCTGAGCCATCTCTCCATACCCCAGTTTTTAACTTTTCAAGGAAAACTTTTTAGCCCTTGAATTCCTTCTGGAACTACATGGAAGTTGAGCTAAATAAAGTCTGTGAGGGGGCTCGCAGAGTGTTAGCTGAGAAGGGAAAGCTGGTCCTGTGTGTTGCTGGATTGGATAGGCTGGAATCCTGGGCAGAAGAAGAGGGAAGAGAGATGGAGGGACTCCAAGAGCACAGCCTTCACCCTTAACCTCCAGGCACCCTGATGTGAACTGCTCTCCCCATATGCCCTCCCCAGGAAAATGGACAGAAACACTGTGAGTACAAATAAGCTTTCTTTCCTCAAGTTATTTGGTGAGAGCATTTTGTCACAGCAACAGAACAAGACATCATGTTTTATAATGTATCATTTCTAATATGTCACTGGCACACAGTGGAAACTATGTATTTTCAGTGAACTCCAATATAGATATATTAGTTGAGAGTAGACATGTAGGTGTGCTTCTAAAATTTAATATGAAGTATTGATGAGTTGCATCTTCATTAAAATACACAAGAGAAACCTGTTATTCAGTTTTTCCTAGGGTAAAATTTACAGTCTTTGGAATAATTTTGTAATGTAATAATAACTCCTTACTTAATTCATTAGTTGAAGTTTCACCTTTTATTGTTTTTTGTTTTTGTTTTTGTTTGTTTGCTTGCTTGCTTTTTTGAGACAGAGTTTCTCTGTGTAGTCCTGGGTGGCCTTGAATTCACAGAGATCTACCTGCCTCTGCCTCAGTGCTGGGATTAAAGGCATATGCCACCATTGCCTGACAGAAGTCTCACATTTTTACATATCAAGTTTACTAAAATAAGAAAGCCAGATTAAATAGCTTATAGTAACATGGGAGTCAAATGACTTAACATGGCCATGGCTTGGAAATAGTTTGAGTGTATCTTTCAAGGTTTCATGTGCTGAAAATGTGGTATTCAGAGCAGTAATGTTAGGAATAAACCCTTAAGAGTGGGGTCTGGTGGGAGACAATTAGATTATCGGAGATACTGACCTAGGAAGAAATTAATGAGGTTGCTATGGACCCCAGTTAGTTCTTTGTGAAAGAAGGGCATTATAAAACAGATGAATTGGCCCCTCCCCCACTATTTGGCTTTCTGTTTCACCGTGTGATCTCTCCTTGCTTATATTCTTGCTATGATGTGGCTCAGCCAAGAGAATCCTCGGCAGAGGCCAAATAAAAGGAGCTGCCCACTCATGGGCTTCTAGTTTCCTAAGCTGGGAATAAATTCTCTTTGTTTTATATATTACTCACCATTTAGTATTTTGTTACAACAACAGAAAAAAAACCAATACAAATATTGAGGAAATTAAATAAGTATTGCCCATACAAATAACTACTCTTTCTACAGTTTTTCTCCCCCCCCATTCATACTTTCTCCCTTGTGCCTTAAATTTAAACTTTGACCTACAGGTGACCCATAATGCCATGAATAAACTTTTTTGCTTTCCAGTACTTCTTTTCACACCCATCCCCATTGTCCCCCCCCCCCATGCCTCACCAGTTTCAATAATGGGTATATGTCCCACGGCGTTTGGATCATCCACAGTGCCTAGTTTCTTCAAGGAATCTGTCTTTGGTTGTAGCTTTGGTATGATCATGTTGGAAGTTGAAGCTTCTTCAGCTAAGAAGCAATATCTGGAGGTCACCCTCAGGGTGGGAGTAGGGGAGGTGCCCCTTACACGTTTATTTTTCCTAAGAGGCTTAGCTATCAAAAACTTCTTTTCCATAAATGCAGTGGAAAAGATTAAAAGAAGTGATGATTGTTCTCAATAAATAACTAGTTCACCTCCAAAAGACTCTATTCCTTTGATAACAAGAGAGGCAAAGCAGAACCCATTACTACTGATTAGAGGGGAAAACCACTTTTCCTTGGACCTTGACTTACATATTTGGGGGGTTCCTGTTACAGTAACAACCAGGACTCCCACAAATGAGCCCAGACAGATTAGAATAATCCATAACTTAAATTGAAATCAACACCCATCCCATGTTCCCCAAATCTTGTTCTTACTCAAGTCCCAAGTCTTATTTGCCTGGGACAAGGATAACAACTCCCTTATACTTGCACAGTGGAAAGACATAACACAATGACAAATATTTTTTTCAAACTAGGAATAGAAATAAACAGGTCAGTTGACCCCTGAAGTCTATAATTATACTAGAATCTCTGAGAAAACTCATCCTTTGCCTTGAAGCTTAATCAATGGTACCTGTGTTCTGAGTAGTCCTGACTACTTGTCGAGACTGAATCACACACATGAAAAATTTCAGCTGAATTTCGTCTTTATGCATGGCTACTTCCTAGAAATAAAGAGTTTAATACAAATAAATGTATCTGTAGAATAATTAAAGTGTCAAAGGTTGACATGGTCTAGGGATACTTAACAATGCCAGGTTTTAGGACTTGGCCATATAAAAAATCAGTATATAGTATATAAGGCGATACCATAATCTACTTTTATAGATACAAGTCAGGATCCCTGAACAAGCAAGTTCACCTCCTTCCTTGTCCCGGTTGCTGATAGTATAGAAAAGGCTGGGAGTTTCAGAGGCTTTCCCTACTTCAAGATTGAATTCAGACAGGCAGTTAACTGGGTCTAGAATTCTGAAACACCTCTCCAAGGCTTCTAAGTAGGGTCTGAGCCAGAGACCTACTAAATTAGGGAGCTTGATAAATAATTTGAATGAACAAATTTATTTCTTCATTATTCCCTCTAAAAAAGTCTGGCATGGGTTACACGTTTAAGATCTCTGGTGAGCCCCATTAGAAATCACTGATTTAAATTCCTCCAGTTACATAAGGTTCTGCATGCAGAGTCTCAGCTAAAGTGTTCCCAGAGTTTCTTTTCCCAGTCTCTGGTTGCTGCTCCCCCAGCCCTACTTCCTGTGATCAGTCAAGCGCGACAAGATGCACACTAATTTCCAGAAGATATAGTTTGAAATAGACTTATATCTCAAATCCTCCTTTGTCAAGTAAGGCACAAGTATGTAAGGCCACAGCGAAAAGCTGCCATGAAAACCTAAGCTTAAAAAAAAAAAAAAAAAAAAATCAATGAACGGAACCAGATGACAGTGGGTAAGGGAGCGGAGGGACAGAGAAAAGCAAAGGACGGCGGGCGCACTAACAGCACTCCAAGTGTGAGAATGAGGAAAAGCCCGGTCTGGGGTTGACGGGCAGATTAAGACTTGACTTAAACGCTTCCTTGCCCCTCAGGTCTCGCCACCTCGCGCAGGCGTCCCACGAGTCCGTAACTCTGCTCTTTGACCTCTTGCCCCACCCCCTTTCTCCCTCGGCAGCTGCCCAGCCGTCTTCCGGTGCCGTAAAGACGGTTCCGGTTCACGGAGGTTCCCGGGCTTTGCGTTCTGAGCCCGGCCGGAAACTCCTTTGCCTAGCAGCCGGTTCCGGTTCGGTGAGTGGCGGCGGGAAACTGGGGGAGGGGTGAGGATGGAGGGAGACTGGGCCGGGAGGCTGTGTCGGACCCGGCCCGCCGGCTTCCGCGGGGCTGAGCGGCAGCGAGGACCGTGGTGGGGACAGCGCTTTTTCTTCCGCCCCGCCCCCTGGGACCACCTCCACTCCCCCCTGCCGTCCGGCGGCGGCTGTCTGGCCCGGGGCTGGTAGCTGGGCTTCCTGAGGCCGCCCTTTGAGGCCTCAGCCTCCTGACCCGCGGAGAGGCCGTCTCCCTGCGGTCACAGCAGGCCCCTCTCAGCGCCCAGCTCTACTTCTCCACGGAGAAAAGGGCCGGTTGGGATTCCTGGAGTTTCCCGCCAGAGCAGGGTCCTCTCCAAGGGAGAGAGAGAGAGAGAGCTGTTTCCACCAAGAAGTTCAGCTCTCAATCCCACCTGCTTCACCTTTCTTCTTCTTTGAGACCTGAATGATACTTCTCGACTACTTCTGTGTCCCACGCAAACAATTCTACAACTCTTTTACCCCGTGGTATTTCCCCGAGATGCGATATCGTTAGTGCCACCACCAGAGAGAAACGTCTGGACTCTTCTGCACAGGTTATGAAAACTCCCTTAACTGCCACAGTTTTCTTCTTACCTGGCTCATCACCTCTTGGTAATTGTCTTGAACCTTTTCTTCGTAGACCCTAACGTGATCTTGCTGGATACGTACTAGGTTTCCCTGGTCTTGAGCTTGGTGATTTCTGTTTTATCAGCACCTCTACAGTTTTTCTGTTATCTCGTTGGCAATAACTCGCTCCCTTATCACTTTAAACTCACACTTGTTAAAAAATTATTTAGTTGGTGTGACTTACTTATTGTGTTGGTATGGTGGTGATTCTTATAAAAATTTATGTCGTCTTTTATAGTCTGTCAACTGTTTGACTAAAGGTTTTTGTTGTAACCGAAAATTCTGGATGAAGTAGGCAATATGTATAAGTATTCCCCGTAAAGATCATTTGTATTCGATCACATGTGGAGAGTACACTGCCTTTGACGTTACAGTGACACCTTAACAAATGACCTTAACCTTTCAATTAGTCTGCCTGCTCCCTGTCCCCGTCCCTTTTAAAGTGCTTCATTCATTCATTTTTACCTGATTTCAGTTAATTATCCCAACTGCAAATGTGGGTATCCTGTCATTCATCTGCTGAATTAAGTCTAGAGAGGAAGTGGATGAGTATACAAACAGGTTCTGCCACTTGTGGCCAAAGAGTGATGTAATTTCTTTCTTTCATTGACTTCTACTTCTCCTACCAGTTGTACCAGTTTTGCTGGATCTGTGAATACATCTGGCATCCTTTACTAACCTATAAACTTATTTTATTTATTTATTTATTTATTTGGTGTTTTGAGACATGGTTTCTCTGTGTAATAGTCCTGGCTGTCTTGGAACTGACTTTGTAGACCAGGCTGGTCTAGAACTTACAGAGCTCCACCTATCCCTGCCTCCAGGTGCTGGATTAAAGGTGTGTGTCGCCGCCACCACCAGGCAAGAAAGATTTTCTTAAAAGAAAACATTGTCATCCTTGCTAGAATTTGATGACATCTAGACTCCTTATCTAGGACTTCATGCAGAATCTTGGTTTTGTTGTCTGTTTTTTTAATCTCTTCTTCCAGCACTATCACAAACGTAGGTACTAGAAGCACACGGCAGAAACAAGATGTATCAGTGTTAAGATATAAACATAGAGCTTTAGTCATCTAAACATATAAGCTAGGATAGATGACCAAAGCTAGCTGGAGGTTATTTTTCAGTTGCCCAGATAAGTCTTTGGATGAGGATGTTTGAGGGATGTGAAGCTGTGCTGTGCTGTGCTTGAGATGTGCTCTTGCTGGCGGACTCTTGTGCTTTTCTCTTTGCCCCATCTGAGACTTCATACAAGTCATTGAACTTTTCTGAATTACTGACTTTGTAGCTTGTTTTCCCCTCCCAAATCTCTAAAATGAAAAAGAAATTAACTGGGGTTGTTCTACTGGATGGCAGATTTTCCTTTTCTTTTTGAGAGAGCATCTTACTTGGAATCTTTCTACCTTCCAAGTTCTGGATTCTATACTCTTAAATTGGCCTTGGTCTTCTTCCTTTCAGTCTCCTCCTCTTTTTTTTTTTTTCCTTTTGTGAGGTAGGGTTTCTCTGTGTAACAGCTCTGGCTGTCCTGGAATTCACTTGCTAAACCAGGCTGTCCTAGAACTCACAGAGATCTGCCTGCTTCTGCCTCACAAGCAGCATGCTACCACCACCAGGTTTGACAGTCTTCTTTTTAAAACAAGGTGGGTGGAATGGGCTAGTCACAATTAGAAGGTGGTGACCTTGGTTGATAGGATTTTTTTCCCCCTACATTAATCTGAACCCTAAATAATTCCACTGTAGAGCAGGGGGAATGGCTCAGTTGTTAAGAGCTCTGGCTGCTCTTGCAGAGGACCCAGGTTCAGCTCCCTCAACCCACTTGGTGGCTCACAACCATCTGTAACTTCAGTTCCCAGGGATCTGATGCCCACTTCTGATCACCACATGCACTAGTCATGCACAGCCTCACATTCAGGCAAAATACTCATACACGTAAAATAAAATAAAGAAATAAATAAAAGAATTCTACCGTATTAAAAAGAAAAGGGGAGAATAGACTGGAGAAATTCTAAGTAGAAAGCTTTTTGCTACATTGAACATTTAGAAATAGTTGAAACCTAAATCTAAGACTTAAGCCCCTGGGGGGATCCTTCCTGGAAGGCCTAGGCATTCTGCTCACTGAAGCAGCCTTCCCTGTGTGATCTTTGTTATTGTGACCATTGAAAAAGCCTGTTGATATCACAGTCCCTTGAATACTTGGAGGATTCAAGATGGCTGTGGACTTGATAACCAAGTACTTGATAACTATGGTGCTAAAAGTGGGGGTGTGTATATGTGTGTGGTTATGCTAATTGAGTACTTCCAAGCAGTTAGGCTCTTAACTACCCCAACCCTTTTCTGGGAAAATTCATTATCTGTAACTTCACTTTCTGCAGTTATAGTTACAGTCAACTATATTTAGAAAATAAAAAGAAAATTCTATATTTTGAGATAAACTATCCATGGGAACATATACACACAGTGTGTTTTGCTCTGTAATACTAGCTGTTCTAGAACTCACTATGTAGACCAGACTGCTTCAAACACAGAGATCTACCTGCCTCTGCCTCCCAAATTATTCTTAATTACTGTTATTAATCTCTTGTTCTAATTTAAACTTTCTTAGAAATATATGTATAGGAAGTGTGTATGTATGTGTGTATGCATATACAATTCAATACCACTTGTAGTTTCAGACTGTTGTTTTCTGAGGCTCTGACTTCAACCCAAGTAGACACAAGAAGTTACCTCAAGGCAAGATTTAATGGAGGGCAGCACAAAAGAAGCTGGGAGGGGAGGACTGATCCATCAGGGCCACAGAACAGACCCAGGAACTGAACTGTGGCCCGAGTGCCAGTTGATGCAAGTGTATAAACATAAAAATCATAAACATTTGTTGCCAGTTTACAATTACAATTTTTCACCAATCAGATTTCAAAGATTAGGGGCTCCCTTGAATATTCCATCATTGTCAACTGATATACAATGCAAGCATTTCAGTTCAGCCAATCGGATTCATTTATTCTATCTTTTGTGGAAGCAGCCATGTGTTCCTAGAGAACTAAAACTGCATAATGGCTATTTCTCTGGTTTAAGGAGGGGATGGGTCAGCTATTGGAGAGTTCCCAGCTCCCCTAGGGCTTGGGAACCTGAACTTTGTTTCACTCTACAGGTAAAATGGAGTCTGAAGTCTAAAAAATAGCAGTACTTAGGACAGGGTGGGTTTTTTTTGTTTGTTTGTTTTTTTGTTTTGTTTGTTTTTTTGCCTATTCCCAACAAGATATATAGTGGTAGCTTTACTACATGTCTCTTACATGAGGAGAATTTCTATATATAAAGGAGCTTTGGTTTAAGCAGGTTTCATTGTTTGGTTTGGCACTAAGGATTGAATAAAAGACCTTGTACAAGCTATGCAAGGGTTTACCATTGAGTTGTTTTCCAACCCTGGTTTTTAGCAGTTTGATGGATAATGTTGGAGGGGGAGGTAGAAAGGGAGTGCTTTGTACAACTGAAAGTATTCCTTGATTGTACTGAATACATTTTTGTCATGTTTGTCTGCTAATAAGGTTTATGGAAGAGAAATCAGGATCACAAAAATCTGTCACTTGCATAGAAGAATGTTTTAGTATGAGGTAATAGAAAAAGCAATGGATTAGGAAAAATTTCTAATTGTAATTCCATTGCAGCCACTGACTGTCTAATCTTTATATACGATTCAGTCTCCTGAGGGCTCACTCAACTTGATTTCTGCTTTCATGATCCGTGATTCTCTGGGTTACCTGTAATTGCTGTTTAATGCAGCATAGTTTACAGCAATGTTTGGCAATATCTGAGACCAATCTTATATTTCACTTTTTTCTCAACAAATCAATATAGCTTTTGCCATTTTTCTCCTTAATGATTATAACTGTCACCTCTGTGTAAGTTCTGGTTATAAAATATTTGAACTAAATGCTTCATGTATAATATTTATGTCGTGTGTCTTCTTTTATAGGGTTTTGTATCTTTGCTAAAGTCAGTGATGTGAAAAGACCTGAAATGGGTAAGACTAACCAAGCAGTCATTCGGCCCTCTTAGTTACTGACTAGTTAGGCTGGAGAGAAAGAGCAAGCTTTCCCAGTATTTGCTATGTTTGTGTCTTTGTGCACAATATTACACAATCTTAGTCCAAAGTAAATACTATTATGTACTCAGTATTATTTTCCTTTGGTTAATACATTGCATACAGAATCATTTAAGGTTACTTTCTTATTCACTGTATTGAAAAAACAAATGCACACTAGCAGCATTTGTTACGCTTACTCTGTATCTACTCTAAGTACTTAATATACATTATCTCATTTCATTGTTTCAGCCATCTTACAAGGACACCTAATAGTGTATACAAAATATACAGGATTGTACCAACAATGTATTGTATCAACAAGGAGAATGAGATGCAGGTTAAGAAACCTGTTTAGAATATTTTGCTCTATCCCTGAGTTGGAGTCCCTGTCCTTTAGTACTGTGTTGCACTGCCTCCATAGATTAAGTTATTTGAGTAAGGTAGACATTTTATTTCATGTAGCTAGTGATATTGAAACTTTGCAATCAGAACATTTCCCTGTTTCATTTGCAGTAGTATATCTGTAAAGGAGCTCAGTGTCCAGGAAGGAATAGCAGCCAGTTTAGGAATAAACTGCAATGGCTGCATCCATGATTATTTCAGATTCACCTGAACCTTTATTTTCTACATTTTTGTACCCCTCCACTACCACTGGGTACTCTCTTCCTTCCCTTAGTCTACTCTCTCCCTCTCTTTATTTGTTTCTATTTTCTTATTGCTGTTATTAGTGTAAATTGCTGAGTTCTCATAACTCGATTGTTCCTGATTTAGCTTTTATGTAAAAATGTTTCTAAAGTAAGATTCTGCCACGGTACTATAGTCATTGAGATGATACTTACTAAGAGCCATAAGAATAAATTCTACCTTTTTACAGAAAAATCAAGTGGATTGAGTTTTTAATGGCTGGTATGTGGGGAAGGTACTTAACACATGTATTTGTAGGTATGCTTTCCCATGGGATTGTATGTACAGTTTTGAGTATGTTGTCTGCCTTATTCCTTTAACACAGGGACTTTCACTGCATTGGAAGCTTACTGTTTTTGCTAGGTTAGCTGGTAGCTTAGTAAGCTCCCAGAACCTGCCTGTTTCTACCCCACAGTGCTGGGTACAGGCAAACACAGCCATATCTATTTTTTTACATGGGTGCTGGGTATTCAAACTGAGGTTCTTATACCTGTACAGCAGGCATTCCTACTGACTGAGCCATTTTCCTAACTCCTGGCTTCAATTTTAAAGCACCTTTTTGAGTTAAGATAGGAAATGAACTAGTATGAAGAGGGTTTTGAATGGTGATATACATCTACTCCTTCCCATTTTTAAATGACAGGGCTTGCCGTGTTGTCCATCTCGTGGATCAACTGGTCTGCCTTTGCTTTTCAAGCATGGCTCTTTACCCAGTATCCTGTTTTTTAAATATTAAATTTATTATACTTAAGATATTAAAAGTTTTCTTTGGGGGAAATTTCATTATTTTAAGAAGTATAAACCAGACTGCTTTTTTTTTCTTGTTTAAGTTTTGAGCTACTTGTCAATTCTAGATGGGCCAGTGTCTTCACATGTTAAGAAAGAGGGTTTTATTTGACTGTAAAATTCTTCCTTGAAAGTCATTTTTATTAGGTGAAAAGATTGGCTCATAGGAAACTATTATTGAAGGATTGTGTGACTTGATCTAATCCGGGCTCTTTCACTAGACGATATTGCCGACGGGATGAAGATGGATGCTGGAGAAGTAACTTTAGTGAACCATAACTCCACCTTCAAAACCCATCTCCTGCCACAGTCATGTTTTCCAGAGGACCAGCTCTCACTTTCTGACCAGCAGGTTAGGAATATTTTTTTGTTTGTTTAATCAACTGATTGTTTTGTTATTATAAATATTCATCTGATAACAGTTTGAATGCCACTCTAAAAAAATCCAAGCATGTGAACTTTTCAGAATAATTTTAGTGTTTTGGTTTCTGCTTGGTTTAAAATAAGAAAGTTAAGAAAAAGCAGATGATATATGAATTAAGAATAATGTTTTTTTAGAAAGCTCTTCATGGTTCCTCTGGATATTAAACTGTTGACATGTAGATCTTCGTTCTTTTAAACTAGGTCTTAAAATTACTGAACACTAGCTTAGGGGAGGGAGACTGCACAGCCATTTGGAGCTTTGGCTGTGATATAATTCAGTTTTTCAGGATCTGTCCCAGAATGCAGCATGTGCATTGCTGGGGGCCTGGTGGAAATGCAGAATCTTAGTATCTCCCACTGGACAGAAGCCATACTGTGAATGCATATTAAAGGAAACCTACTGAGAGCAGTCTTGAGCCAGAGGCACCAAGCTGGTAAAGACAGTCTGCCAAGCCTGATGGCCCTAGTTTGATCCCTGAGACCCACATAGTGGAAGGAGAGAACTGACTCCTTTAAGTTTCCTCTTCCCTCCTCACTTATACAGTGGGATGTACAATAAATAAATGTAATTTTTAAAATTAAAACAAAGAAAATAGTCTTGCTCAGTAGAAAAGCCATTGGTAATTTGCATGAGGTAATTTGTTGCTGTGTGAATGTGCTTAAGTGTAGCAGTTAAGTCCCCCAAAGTCATGTGATTGTTACATATATGTTTACATGTTGTGCTTATACTAAGATTGCAGCAGCAGTCCTGATAAAAAGTGGTCTGTAAAGTGTTCAAAACCAAGTTGACTTTCTCAGCTTCCATAACAACTTATTTTCTGATAGAATATCAGATACACCATCCAATGAATGTTCTTTACATGTAGAGCAGATAGTTATTTCCCTTCTTTCCCTTAAATCTGAATAATTTTGCTAAATTGTCTTTTTCTTGTTAGTATGCAGCTTATTTATAATACAATAGACATATACATAGTGTATTGAGTTGCAGAGTGTATCATAGTCCTGTTTAGTGATGTTTTCCTTAGTGTAGACTTTTTTCCTCTTTAATTGTCAAAATTATGATTTAAGAAAACAATCTTCTGTTTTAGATCCTGCCTTCCAGGCAGGGGACTTTGGACAGATCTTCCACGTGTTCTACAAGAAGTGTAACTTATAATCCAGATTATTATTCAGGTATGGCTCATTGCTTGTATTCAAGTCACTGTACACCCTTCATGTTTCTTCATAGCAGATATTTCGTGTTTACCTATAAAGTGAAAACAGTATCAGGTACTGGGACATGATGCAGTGGTAGAGGACTTAACCTATTGCTGAGTTTCCTCCCCAGCACTGCTAAAAAATAAAAGATGATAGCATTGTCAAAAACATGGTCTTTTCCCATTAAAGCATCAATTTGATAAGGTATTTATGTGTATGCATTCATTGCTATAATAGATTAGATTTAATGACAACCAAATACTAATTTTTGTAATCTCCTTATTTATTTCATTATAGAAAGTAAAATAGTTTCTTTGTTTTGTTTTACTATGTGTATGTAATACAACAGTATTTGTTTCATACTGATTTAAACCACATGGCTAACTTACTAAATATTTCTGCCCAAGTTTGTTCTTCCTTCAGTGCAGGAAATGTTAACTACATGTTTCTGTCTCACACCTGCCACAGCCATATGCTTGTGTATTCAAGGACTTTGCTACTCAACCTGGGACCCAGGATAAAGATATCCTCTAAGTGACTCTTATTCCCTGGCTGGCGGTGGACTTGTTGTCTGCCCCTTCCTAAGGTTTAGACTTCTGACAGCATTCTGCCTCTGACCTGGATAACTTAGACTTTCCATAATAGTCTCTGGGCACCATAATTCAGAAGATTACAATGACCTTCTCAGGTCTTTTTACTCTGTTACTTAAAATCCCCTTTTACTGCAAGTACGGGGGTAATAAGAATACCATAGAGCCTGTCTACAGGAGAGGGTTTTTTTTGTAAGGATAAACTTATGATAAATATGAAATACATATGCACATAATAATTATTATTATTTGGCTTCCTCAGGATTCTTTGTCAGCAAGATGAGATCTCCTCCCCTAAAAAGACGTTAGTATGATGTTCTTTTAGACCTATATTATATTTAAGTGTGCATTATTTAGGTGGGTGGTACTATACCTTGGGTACTACATTTCCCCTCAGGATGGGCAGTGGCCTCTACATACATAGTATGAATAATTTTAATGGTAAAAAGAAACTCAGAAAGTAACTCTTTTGCCATTATTAATGAAAAGCGCTTTTTGGTGAACAAAGAAAATTGATGTGATTAGATAGTTCATTATTAATCCTACAGAAAAGACAGTAGTTAATGAAGTCAGATCATTAATATTTCCATTTGAATCACACTGTGTTTGCTTGCTATTTCATATACCAGTTTGCCATTGATAGAAGCATTCCACTGGGTTTAAAATAATTGGTTCTTAATAAACAATTGCATAGTATAGAAAATTAGACTTAAATCCCTTGATTAAAAACCAAATCTTACTTAACTCTCCTCTCTTTGGCCTCTTCTGATTTATCTCTGCATATGTTCATGGTACACATTATGTGATTTGACACTTAAAATCTTTATAACTCTAAGTTTGTATATTTTGTTTTCTGTCTGCTCACGTGTTCTTCCTCATATTTATTATTTTCTGTTCATTTTTAATCTGTGGCATTGTTATGCACAGCCATAATCTCTTATGTGTAGTTTCAAACTCCAAAAGCTCTAAAAAAAATGTTTTTTTTTTAGATTTGACATTAAAATCTACATAAACTAACAAGAAGAATTTTCTGTTTTGGCTTCACTTACCCCTACAAAAAAGTACATACCCATTTTGCTACATGTACCAATATTTGTTTATAGAGTGCTGCACCAGATTATACTGGCAAGTGTTACATAGAATAATGGATTATTTTGCTAAAATTGTAATTCTGATGTACAATTGGACCCCAAGGCTTTATGATTTGGGGTAAATGCCCAGTGCCTGCATTTGTGCCATCATTATTTTTCCTAGGGCTTAAGTCCACTATACTTTTGTCGTTGTTAATTATTATTAATAACACCACTTAAAAGTGTTCATATATTTTTTTCTCTTAAATTTTAGTTGAACCTTAGTCCTGACAACAATATATTTGAGATCACCCCAGATCTTCTTTATCTTCACTGTGGCAATATTTGACCAAATTCCTGGCTTTCTTCTTAGCCACAAATTGTTACTGAGTTATTACACTTTGCCTGTGTTTATCATTATACCACAAGTTGATCCTCATACCAAAAATCTCCCATTAGAGTTTATCTTGCACTTGAATTGATGACTTTCTTAAGAAAATAAAAGTATTTTGTACTTGTTTTGTATACGTGAGAAAAGAATAACTGGATAGTGAAGTCATGCGGAAGAGGGAATGCTGAGCTCTCTATTACGTTTATTCCCTGTATACGATCTATAGCTTGAAACAGAGTCTGTTCATCTATCAGATCACCTAGTTCTTGAATAAACAAACTTATGGCATGCCACAGATCTTATAGTCAGAATTTTAGATCCAATATACAGACACAGGGCCCAGGGTTTATTCCCCAGCACTAAACAAAAACAAAGCTACTTTTTACTAGGTACTTTAAAAATAAAACCTTTTTCCTTTGCCATATCCATTACATTACAAGCCCTGCACAACTTTGTTACCTGCTTAGATACAGTCAGTCACGTGAGCCACCTCTGCTGTTTTACCAAGATGAAAATAAAAATAGGAAAGTCCGCATTGTAGGATCTGGAGCCAATGATTTATTGTTCTATTGAATCTATGTCTCTGGATAAAGCCTTTCAGAAAGTCTACTCAAACTTTAAAGAAAGTAACTTTTCTGAATTGTTTAGAAAACATAAATGCAACACTTTGACTTTAATAGCCAGTCTTGTGAAGAGCACACTGAATGAAAAACTTTAAAGTGTTTTTAATTCAAAAGAACAACCGAAAAAGTAGATTGAGACAAAAATAATTTTCTGTTGCTTTAAATTTATCAGTATCTTTGGAAAACATGTTAAATTAGGTTACTAAGCTAACATGTAGTAGGTTTTTAGTTTTTGTTTTAGTGTCCTGTTATCTCAGTAACTAATAAATTTCAATGTAAGCAGGAGAAATAGTTACTTTCAGTGAATGATATCTGACACATTCTTCCTTGTTTTTTTTTTTCTTTTGTGTGTGTATGTGTTGTAGAGAGCAGTTTATTATAGATTCTAGGGGAGGTGAGCAATGAGCCCCTGATTAGTGGGAGCACACTCTTGTTTTTTAATACAGCTTATTATGTTCATAAACACATTGCCCATTTCTGTAGAAAACTTGCAGAGAAAAGTGCTTAGTCATTTTATTAGAACATAACCACAATTACATTTTCATTGTATTCTAGTTTTTGTATGCAGGTATGAGTATATAATAAATTACCTTGTTTCTGGCTTTATAACTCTAATTTATTAGTGATGACAACATAGCAGATTAAAATTCAAAGAAAAAAAAAAGATTTCCAGCCTGTTATTAGTCTCCTATCCCCACCAGCAATCAGAGAATTCTTCAGTGACCATTAGCTGGGGCTAGACTACCTGCCTGAGACCATGCTTCCCCCTCTAGTGAGTGCTCTAAGGAAGGCTATTCTGACTTGTCCTTGATCTCAAATTTCATGTCTATCAAGATTATTTATATTTTTTAACAGATTTCTTCCTCAAAACATCTTTAGTTAAATCATTTAGCAAGAAGTTATGAAAGCCTATTATTTCTGCTGTTACTGCTTTGCATTTAGCAAACACTGTTTTCTGGGTTTCTTACTACAACTGTCACTTACCTGTCCTTAGAGTAAGAGTAGCCACATGGGTTAAGCCCTTTGTTACTACAGAGGACTAAAGTTCTGATTCATTTTGAAAATGAATTTACTTATGTCAATTGTAAGACTAAGTAACTGCACTGACTAGTGAATCATTTGACATTAACAGCACCGAGGATGCCTTTTTTCCCCCTTATCCTGTTTTCATGGTTTACTTAAGGGCCTTCTTTTTTAAGGCTGTTGGGTAGAGTGTTAAAAGGCAGACAAGCACCTATGTATGTGTGTGTTGAGACAGTCTCACTGTAGCCACAGCTGGCCTCCAACTTGTGGTTGTCCTGCCTCAGCTTCTCAAGTCCTGGGATTGCAGGTGTATATCACCATACCCACCCTGAATACTTTAAATAACATAAATGCATACTGTTGTGCAAAGGTCTTTGTTAATGTTCTTTGGAAGGAACACTTCAGAATATTATTAGTATAAGAAAAAATTCAAACACTAGAGAACTATCATTCTTATTTTTTCCACTGAAGCTCCTTGGAATTCCATAGCCTAATGTCTGAAGTTATTTTGTCAAAGCTGTTTTAATGTATCTGGGCCTCCTGATAGAGAAAGGAAGGCATAGAAATTATTCTACTACTCCTAGCTAAAACTTGAAGGGTTTTTTTTTTTTTATTCTAGTTTATAATCCAGAATTCATAAAATTAAAATAATAAACAATCCTCAGTCTGATTGCAGTATCAAGCATTGATGATTGTGGCTTAAAGAAACTGAAGATCACACTAGAACCACAGGTATATAGTGATCATTCCTGCCATAAGCCAGCCAGTATGGGCAGCAGTTAGATCTGTGCTCTGAGAGATTCTCAGAGTCTGGAACATGATAACCACACAGAAGAAAGTGACACCAACTGCTTATTAAGCAATAATTGTTGTTCATTTGAATTACGATCTCCTCGGCCCTCCACTTGCTTTCTTACTGGTCTGGCCTACCTTCTTTCAGGCCCAGGCCTGGGAGTGCTTGCAAGATATAGTTGGGGTAAAATGTTGACTTTTGGTGGACACCACGGAGTCACATTGATGCAGATAAGGCACATGGCTGTGGCAGGATTCAGCTCCTTCATCAATTTTCAGGTTAGTATGGCTGAATCAATTATAGTTTGTAGAAGTTCCCTTGCTGCAGATTTATTGGCAGTTGAGACTGGGATCTTTTTCCATGAGAGACATGGTGATATGCAATGATGGAACATGGTTGCAATCATGAAAAGACCTAGATCTAATTATTTGTTCGACTTATTCAAACTTTTTTTTTTTATTTTATTTTATTTTATTTTAGATAACCCTTCCTCAGACAGTTTCCTTGGCTCAGATGACACAAGAACCTTTGGTCAAAGTGTAAATGGACAGTGGAGAAATTCCACTCCAGCATCAGTCTCAACATTACAAAAATCAAGAAATAGCAGAAGTCTTTACCTCGAAACCCGAAAGACCTCAAGGTTAGTCTTTTTTTGTCTACTTATTTCTCAAATACTTCTTCAGATATAAGAAAAAGTGTATAAGATGGATACACATTAGAATTTTCAGTGAGTAATATCATTTTAGGGCTAAACCTTAACAAAATATACAAATCTATTTCCTTTGTGTCTCTTATAAATCATTAGAAGAGACACTTTTGAAGGAAGTCCTGGTGGGTCTAAATGTTGACTCTTTAGGATAGTGTTCAGATAGTCAGTACAAGTTTTAAAGAAGAAATTAAGTCAGTCTCTGCAGCAAAGTCTACAGCCTTTCATGGGAGCTGACTCAAACCTGTTCTGAAGCTGCTCCAAAGCTGCACTGGTTAGAGCCAGGCTCTTGTAACTCGTAGGAAAAGGGTCTTAGAGAATCTCACCCCTATTCATGAGTCTTACCTGTTCCCCTGCCAGAGTTATATTGGTCATTAACAGGTACCTTAGATTCTTTATTATATTTAATTTTTGACAGTGTTGGGAAATCATACCCAGGGAATTGTGTACAGTATGAAGTACTCCACCACTGAGCTATATTCACAGGCCATCAATATGTTTACTTTTGTTTGTTGGAGATGAGATGTCATGTAGCTCAGCCTGGACTCAGACTCAGCATGTAGGCAAGCATGACATTGAACTTCTGATCCTCCTGCCTCTAACACCTAGGTCCTGAGATTACAGATTTACCACCATGCCTGACTCCCAGCCCATGTATTAATAAAGTTGTTCTATAACTTTTTTTTAGTCCTTGACTTTTTATTAATTCTTTTTCATTTTACATATTAAAATTTTCTGTATATATCTGAGGAATGTGAAGTCATTTAACCAAGTTAACCAATCTTTGTGATTTACTGAAACCAACAGAATGGCTTTTATTTACTTGAAGATTATTAGCACATAGACTCTGGGAATATATGTTATGGCTCCTAGGGATCATTTTCACTACTTTTTAAATTTTTTATTTGTATAAGAATTAGTACATTTATATTGTAAAAATTAAAATATTGGCAATAAAGTGAAAGCCTTTGAACTCTCCACAAGCTCCTTCTCCCATTGGTCTTTCCTTCCAAGCCTTTTCCTATTTCTGTCTTGTAGGTAGCAACACTCATGTTGTATACTTTCTGTGCAAAACCTGGTTTTTGTCTTCACTAAAGATACTCATGCATTATTTAACAAGCTACTTTTTTAAAATTGATAACAGCGTACTGTTATTTTTAATAAAGTTACTATAGAAGCAATACATATCCTTTTAAATTTTTTTTTAAAATATTGATAAGCAAAAATAAAAATAAAACATCATACTTCTACCACCTTGAGGACACTTGTAAAAATCCTTTCAAATATCATTGGTGCTATTAGATCTGTTTTCAAAGACTAGTTCATGCCATACATATGCTTTTTTAAAGTACTAATTTATTATTAGTATGTGATATGTATATGGCTTTGTGTGTTATGGCAGTCATGTGGAGATTAGAGGACAATTTTGTGGAGTTGATACCTTGTGCTTTTACTTGAGTCCCAGGGGTCATCAGGTCATCAGGCTTGTTCAACAAGTACCTTTACAGTTTACACCGTTTCATCAGCTTTATACAGTGAGTGCATACTCTTCTGTCTTCGACTTTTTTAGTAGCATTTATGTCTCATTTATCCAAACCAATATCCTATGTAGGATTGCACTTGTCATTTGTCTCCTGTAGTCTAGAATGGCTGGAGGCAGGAGGCATGGAGTTGGTTGGTTGTGTTTTAATGGCACGACTTTTTTCTGTATAGTTGCCCTTTGAATTTGATTTGATGATATTTCTTCATGGTATTGTTTTATTCTCCATCCCCTGTGCTTTTGTAAGTTAATTTCTTGACTCAAAGAATTGTGTTATACTACACTAGAAAACAAACATTATCATGTTCTGGAACTTCTGTCATTAGTGATGGTAGATTGACATTGGACAAGAGAGTTCATAGTCTGGTCCCTGATTGTACAGTTAGAGCTTCCGTGATTTGAATATAATCTGGCATTATGTAAGTGAACAATTTTACTTTGCCTAATCCCTTAGTAATTATTACTATCAATTGGAAATCCTTATCTAATGATTTTTTTTAGAGTTATTGAACCTTTTTTTCTTCCTATTAGTTGGCACTGTTTTTTCCATAAGTTAAGACTATTTGATTACCCTGAAACACATTGTCTGTTATGGGACAGGTAGGATAAATGATTAGTTCTTTTTTTAAATTCCAATTTTCAAAGTAAGTTTTTTTTAAAATGACTACTTCATATAGTTTAAATGAATTATAATTATCTTGAGGAATTAAATAGCTTTTGAAATTCCCTTAAGTGTTTGGTGCTGTGGAACATGCACCCAGGGGCTCAGTCCTGCTAGGCACCCCCAGCCCCCTTTTTACTGCGTGAGTCACCAGGCTGGCCTTGAACTTGTGATTCTCCTGCCATAGCTTCCTAGATAGCTGGACTTAGGGGCCTGGGACACCAAGCCCATCCTTGTTAGTCTTTTAATGCTAATATTTTAACAGCTTTGGTTTTGTAACCTAGAATAGCTTGGGGGGGGCGATGCCAGGGATTACTTGCATGTTTGCAATTTTCTTGTTTGTTTGTTTGATTTTTACAGGGTTTCTCTATTGCTTTGGAGCCTATCCTGGAGCTAGCTCTGTAGACCAGGCTGGCCCCGAACTCACAAAGATCTGCCTGCCTCTGCCTCTCAAGTGCTGGGACTAAAGGTTTGCTCCACTACCACCCAGCTGTATGTTTATGTTTGCATTTTAATGACATAGCTTCCTTGCCATGTTCCTCTTTGGACTTGCTTCTGGCTCTGTTAGAGTCCAGTTCATTAGATATGGGTAGGATACTTGTTTTCTGGCATTGCAAGATATCTTCATTTTTTTTTTTTTTTTTTTTTTTTTTTTTTTGATTGGATCATTTTAATGTTGAAAAGACACAGGTCAGGAAGCATGGATACAAAAGGCACTGTAGAGAACACATTTTGTCTTTCCTAGACGCTTGTACTGCCACTGCTGTCTAATCAGCCATGTCTTCACAGCCTGAGAACACAAGCCTGAGTGCAAGACTGGGGCTTCTTGCTCTTCCAGTACTGTATTATACATAAAAAGCCATAGGTAGAGAATGTATTTCCTTTTTGTTGTTTCCTAGATCTGGTCAGCTCATTTAGATTCAGACCGTGTAATTAGTTTAGTTTATTGAATCTAGCTTAGTCAGCTGTGCAACTGTTTTGAGTTCTCAGGGGGAAATGAATTAGAAGAAAAACTTATTTTGGTTAGAGTAACTACCTCAGGCTTGCTAGGAAATGGCGACGAGAAGCATCCTGTAAGGAGGGAAAAGCTTAAAACTAATGAGCTTTAGGTGGGCAATTGAGGTTTTGAGTTCACAAAGGTATTTTTTATGTCAGTTTTCTCACTGGAAAGGTCATAAATAGTAAGAATCCACAGTGTGCCATGTAGCACAGAGCATGTACAGCCTGTAGATCATAGCATGAAGCTATACATGCCTGTGGGGGAGAGGGGGACCTTCTGGTTTCTTTTCCTGAAGAAAGAGAGCCCTCTATTGGTTCTGTAGGAAATTTTATAATTCACTGTAAAAGTTCAGTTGTGAGACTTCAGTTTGATTCATCCTTGTATATCTGAAATAATTCCTTCCAAAGAGCTTTAGGGACAGGATTGTGGAATAGAAATGTGAAGTATGATTAGGAAAAAAAAAAGTATGTGGTTAATGTACCTCTACTCTGGATTTTCCAACAAACACTAATCTGGTTTGTTCTCCCTCATTCCATATTGCTTGCTGTTTTGTTTTTGAGAAAGGAAATTCTACATTGTGGGTCCAAGAAAATGTTTTGATTATTTGATAAATATATGATTTAGCAATCTAAGACCTTTGAAGAAGCAGAACCTGATGTTATAACCTCATGTGTTATATCTTACATACTTATGTTGTTCTGTCTTTATTATTATTTCTTAAAATTAAAAATAATCACTAGATTTATCTTCTTTTTTTTTTTTTTTTTTTTTTTTTTAGTGGATTATCAAACACCTTTACAGGAAAGTCAAATCATCACTGCCATGTGTCTGCATATGAAAAGTCATTTCCTATTAAGCCTGTCCCAAGTCCATCCTGGAGTGGTTCATGTCGTCGAAGTCTTTTAAGCCCTAAGAAAATTCAGAGGCGGCATTTCAGCACAGTAGAAGAGGTAAGGAAAAAGCTGCAGCCAGACATGCTACGAGCAGCTAGTACCCTTCATGCAATGAGCCATTGTTGCTCTCACCCTTGGGGTTATGAACCATTGTACTTACCTCATCCTCTGTGCTTTTCCCCTTTTTGAAATTATTCTTTTTGAAATTTTGCCCTAAGTTCTAAAGTGTTTGAAGAACATTATTTTTTTGTACAATCTTCTGTCCCTGTTGTTTCACAACACTTCTAAACTGTTGTTTTCTTTAGTAAAATTGTGAACTTTGCTCAACAGTTTGGCTTTAATAAAATTTGATTTGGTAGAACATCTACTTGTCTCACTAGGAAGAGCTTTCTTCAATATAAAAACAAGTACATGATAAAAAGAAATTAGTTTTTAAAAAGCTAGCTAGGGACTAGGGAGATAGTTTAGTCAGTGAAGTGATTTCCATCAAGTGTCAGGACTTAAGTATTCACATAAAAAGCCCAGTGCTGGAGAAGCAGGACAGGCAGGTGCCTGGGGGCTCACTGGCACATTGGCCTAACCTACTTGATGACTTTCAGACTAGTGAAAGACTCTGTCTCAACAACCAGGCAAAACAGCTGCTTGAACAACACCCAGGGTCAACTATGGCTTGTACATGTATATAATATAGCACATGATCTGATGCATGTGCATACACATGAACATACACACACACACACACAGATTATTTTTTTAAAGCCAGTTAAATTTATTTACCTCTTTTTTGTTATGAGTAGGATCTTGGAAGTCAGACTTTCTCAAAAGAAAGCTGTTTTGTTGACATTTGAGCTGTTCTTTTCACTCAGTGACCTAAAGGGTGAGATTGTGATTGTAATTTAGCATGGAATTGGCATAGCAAGAAGTATGTGTCTATTCAGTTACATATTTATTATGCATCTTAATAGTTTTAGCTGGTTTCTGTAGAGATACAAATGAGTACTAATGACCTTACACTTATATAGCAGTGTTTTAATGTGCCTTCTATATATTAATATATTAAATAATTGAGTTCTTTTAATCCTGTGAACTAGGAAAAGGTGAGTTGGTAAATTCATACTTCACGGATTTGGAAAGAAAGGTCACCTGGCTCTTAATAGTATTGCTGGTCTAAAATGCAGGTGTTTTAAAGTTTCTTTGGAGCGCTTCCTTTCACACATATGGTGATATGGTTCCTGCCTAACTTTGCTTATAAGTACAGAGTCAAGAATGCAGCATTACATTCTAGGTGATTACAGAATATCTTAATTGAAGATGGATGACTATTTGAAAACTGACAAATGTTTAGTGAAGATATGCTCTCTTAAGTTTTAAGTTTGTATTGAGCCTGAAATATCTAAAAGGAGAATGGCAGAATAATCATTTAATAGAGCAAAGACTACACAATAAACTGGAACATTTGCCATTGCTGATGGAGCTGAGCCCAGAGCCTCGTTCATGGTTTCTGCTCAGCTGACTTCTCCACCCAGTTCATCTGTCCTTCACCTTTTGTGTTACTGAATTTTGTACCAAGTATATATTGATAAGCACAGATACAGTTTTCCTTCTTGTTTTCGCTTTATTGAGTTTTCCTTTTCTTTCCCCTTTTGTTTTTGTTTTATTAAGGAGGTTTCACTCAGTAGCCCAGGCTGGCCTTCAACTCATTGTATAGTTCAGGCTGGCCTCAAATTCTTGATCCTCATGCTTCAGCCTCCCAAGTGTTGGGATTACAGGTGTGAGCTACCCTCCCTGGCTTAATTTCTTCTTGCTAGACTTGAAGGGTTTGTGCTTACTCTAGAATGAGCTATAGAAAGGCTCTCTGGGAGAACCATTAGCACAGTAGCTGAGTAGAGGCTTCCTAGAAACCCCAGGGTCTGTAAGTTCTCTGTCAGCTTGTCGCTTACCAGCTGTCCCTTCCCAGCTCCTGCCAGCTACACTGTCATCCCAAGGACTTGGGCTAACCAAGTTAGTTTAGTTTAGTTTTGTTTTGTTTTATCTAGCCAACCTTCTAGGCCACAGACTAGGTGAATGGAGAGCATGGAGCTGGAGTTCCCTTTCCTCTAGCAGCATAGTGAGATGGATGAGGGCTGGATCTCAGCTATGAAATGAGGTGCAGGGAATTTTGTGTCAAAGGATTTTTTGTCTATGTTCTCTAATTAAGCTACTTGTAGTCTAGAATAACCCATATGCGTGAGATGAAATATTAGAACAAACACCATTATCAAATGTTCAACAAATTATGTATGAATTTAATTATAACTATTACCAGTGATTCAGACATAATGCTTTCTACCCACTAGAACTAGAGATTTTTTTGTTTGTTTGTTTGTTTGTTTGTTTTTCAGAAACAGGGTCTCCTATATAGCCCTGCTATCATGAAACTAATTATGTAGGCCAGGCTATCCTCAAACTCACTGAGATCCACTTGCCTTTGCCTCCCAAGTGCAAGAATTAAAAGTGTGTGCCACTATGCCTAGCCGGAACTACAGAATTTTTTATGGGAATTTACAAACTGTAAAAAAAAATATTTCCATAGAAATGTTGGAATCTACAAGAAGAAAGTATTTATTTAACGTAAAGAAGGAAGATTATGTGTTAACACCTAATTAAGAATCAGATTTGCCTTTGAACTTCTGGATTGTAATGCTGTGTACAAAATTGATGGTTAAGATACCACCTCTGCTAGAGTCAGTTTTAAAATAGGACTCTTAAGATGGGGATTTTAAAAAGGGTTAAAAGTGGACAAGTCATAACTGATTCCATTGAAGAGCTGAGTTATCTAGCACCATCCACGTTAACTAAACCTCAGCCACATGTGTTCACTGTGTCAGCTGCGCAGATGTAGAGCCTTCTGTGCTATTGTAGACCTGTGTAGTACTGTAACAGAGAATGCAAGTGTTTGGAAAGGAGAAAATGATGTGACAGTAAAATGTTTAAATAGTGGAAATGTAAGTCAAGGGCCAGCAAGATGGCTCAGCAGGTAAAAGCACTTGTTGCTAAGCCTGACAACTTGAGTTTGATCCCTGGGACCCACGTGGTAGGAGAGAACTGATTCCTATAAGTTGTCCCCAGGCCTTCACATGTGCCCACTCCCACACTAAATAAATAAATGTGTGAGGAGATTTTTAAAAACCACAAATCTTTCTTTAAGTTAGGTGCTGCTCTGAGACAGTCTCTGAGCAGCATTTTGTGACTGGAGCCTCATGCTCTGGAGTGTGTGCCTCTGCTTCTCTTTGTGTGATGCTGTAGTTGTTTCACCATAAACCAAACCTTGTGGATTTACCAAAAACATTTTTAACCATTTTGCTTCCGATATTTTTATATGTAAAGCTCTTATATTCTGCAAAATGGAATGGAAACTGTGAAGTTAGGATTCTAAATCACAATAATTTGTAACAATAGGTTATTAGCTTGCTGAAATTCATTTTGTTATTTTGTTTATACAGTCTTGAATCACAGTTTTATGCTGTACTCTTATAGAAATGGCAGCTAATTGCAGGAGTTAATCACATATTATTAATAGACTTCCTCTGTGTGAGTGTGTAATGAACATATGTGTACCTGCAGGCACATAATGAACACCTTTTATTCACCATTCCAATTTTCACCTTCAGAAAATCTCTTAATCACATAGAAACTGCATGACATTAATTGTCGCAAACAACATTTTCTTGTTGGCCAAGCTGCTTGAAACCAAAGTAAACCTTTTTAAAGATGTATATCTTCTTGTTTCCTTAAATGCTTTCTATGTGATAGTCTGCATTCTATATTAGTATGTGTCCGTTGTGCATAATAATAAATTTCATTGTAGCATTTTCATTCATGCATGTAAGTCTTTGATCATATAAGCTCCCAGTTACCCTCTCTTGTTGGCTCCATTCCCTGGGTCCTTTTGCTCTGTCAAATTAGTTCATTGCCCCACCCTTTCCTTTTTTCTTCTTGTTACTTTTTTGAGACAAAGTCTCAAGTGTGTATTCCTGGCCTGTCTTACCACTTTGAAGCCCAGAGAGGCAGTCCTCCATGCTCAGCTTCCAGAGTGGTAGAATTACAGGTGTGTTACTGTCTGGTCCTAGGCTTTTCTTTGTTAGGAGACTTTGATTAGTGCAATATCATTATTGATTTGTTTAGGATGTTGTTAAACCTACTTCATTGTTCAGTTTTGTTAGGTCAAATCCAAAAATTTATATAGTCCTACTGGATTTTTCCAGTTTGTTGTAATACATACATATAACCAGATGTTTCCTGTCCCAACCACTTGGTCCCCAATAACTAACTCAGAGACTGAATATGAATTATAAATGCTCAGCCAATAGCTCAGGCTTATTACCCACTAACTCATATTTAAATTAATCCATTTTTATTAATCTCTATATTGCCATGTGGCTCCTGACTTTACCTGTCTTCTAGTACGTCTTGCTTCCTCTGTGTGTGTGTGTGTGTGTGTGTGTGTGTGTGTGTGTGTGTGATGCATGCGTGCTCATGCATGTAGAGGCCCAAAACTGATGTCGGGGTTTCCTCCATAGCAGTTCACCTTATATATTGAGGCAGGGTCCCTCAGTTGAACACTGAACTCTGCCATATAACTAGTCTAGCTGGCCAGCTTGCTCCAAGAAGTCCCTGTCTACACCTTGTGAATACTGGAATTGAAGGCTGGCTGCTGTTGCCAAAGGCACTTAGTTGGTTCTGGATATCCAAACTCCCATCCTACTTACATGGCAAGAGCTTTATCCTCAGCCTGGATGGCTGTCTTTATAATTTTATCTGGGAGGAGTGGTTTTTTCTCGGGGACTCAATCCTCTTATCACTCAGAAGGGAAAAATCAAATTGCTATGACAGCAACAACACAGAAGCAAAACAAACATTAAAAACAAAACAACAACAAAAAAAAGCAATTATGATGACTACTAGACCACAAGCAGTTATGAGGGAATGTCTAACTCTTTATTCTGAAGAACTTAACCAGTATCTGAAACACTAGACAAGGTCATCAGTATTGTGGCTACAATATGAATGTGCCAGTAGTAAAAGAGTGTGGACCCCAACGCCCTGCAGAGAATATCACAAGCTTGTTTTCTCTTGGGATCTGTTTGTCTACCAAATACTTAATTCTTCCTTTTTTAAAATCACATAGCTGTTCAGATTTCAGGAAAGTTGGAGTTGTCCTGCTTCACAATTTAAATGCATCTAGTAAATGAGTAATATTATAATGACAACATAATTATAATTTACTTTGCAGAAACAGTGAGAGATTCAGGAAGAGAATTGTTAGTGTCTGTCCATTTTTGTAGTTAATTGCTTTATTTAATTATGTTTTTTCCTTTCTTTCTTTCCTTCTTTCTTTCTTTCTTTCTTTCTTTCTTTCTTTCTTTCTTCCTTTCTTTCTTTCTTTCTTCCTGTTTTTCAATACAGGGTTTCTCTAGCCCTAACTGTCCTGGAACTCACTCTATAGACCAGGCTGGCCTTGAACTCAGAGCTCTGCCTGCCTCTGCTTCCCAATTCATTCTACTTTTAACAAACATTTGTAGGGCTGGAGAGATGGCTCAGAAATTAAAAGCACTGGCTGCTTGCTCTTTCAGAGGTTTTAAATTCAAATCCCAGAAATCACATGGTGGCTCATGGTCATCTATAATGAGATTTAGTGCCCTCTTGTGGTGTGCAGGCAGACATTCAGGAGAGATTGTACCTCCTTGTTGTTTTCCCCTCCATCAGTTTGTATCCTCCTTGCCCCTTTAATTTACTTCATGCTATGAACAAGTCTTTGATTGACAGCCCCTGTAATAACTGTAATATAAACTCCACAACAGCTAGAAATTTATTTTATTCTATGTCAAATCTCAAGTGATTGAAGCATAGTAGATGTACACGTCAGTGAGTAAATGTTACAGACTATGTTGGTGTTTGTGCTAAATACTAAATTGAGACTTAGAGAATAATAAGTAATTAATGGTGGAGATGGACTCCATCTTCAGAAAATACTTGTACCTGCATGGAATACAAGATACCTTCCTTTGACAGAGCCTGACTGTGTGCTTATCTCCTCAGGACCTTTATAATTGGTATCAGGACTCAAGGAACTGTTTGGAGTTATGATTCAGGAGTCTTAAATGTTTTATTTCTGGACTCATCGTTTGAGTGATTAATTGCTTTGTGGCTTTCTGGTTTCATATTTAATAGCTTCTCAGCACTATAATATCCACCATAATTTTCCAAAACAAGCTATGTCTGAGAATTAATTCTGCCTAGCTCCTTTTATGCAGCGCACTTTGAGAGTACCATCAGTGTATAGTATTTCCTCATCTTTAGGACTGCTAGAGCTTCGGCAGTGATCCTGAGAGTATCTGCGTGCTCATCTGAGAAGTGTTTGCCTCATGTTTAAGATATTTCTTTTCTCTCCCTTACAGACAGTTCAAGAGGAAGAAAAGGAGATCTACAGGCAGCTGCTGCAAGTGGTCACAGGGAAACAGTTCTCTGTAGCCAAGCCCACCACACATTTCCCTTTGCATCTGTGAGTCACAAAAGTATCTTTCATGTGAACTTAACTTGACAACTTGCTATTTGATACTGAAACTGTATCCTCCTTCTACTAGATCTCGGTGTCTTAGTTCCAGTAAAAACTTTTTGAAAGACTCACTGTTGAGAAATGGAAACTCTTGTGCATCTCATGTCATTGGCTCTGATACTTCATCCTCTGGATCAGCCAGCATTTTAACTGCACAGGATCAGTTGTCCCACAATGCGCGTTCCCTATTGTCCTATACCCCAGATGCTGCATTTGGATCCAGAGACTCTGATCCTCAACATCCGTCTCACCATCACCTTTCTACTCCACATCAGCCAGATAACTTGCCAGCATCAAATACTCAATCTGAAGGTAAATAATACTAATAGCCAATTAACTAGTCATCGTATCTGTTGCAGGCACAATTGTAATATATGTAACTTAATACATATGAGATTTTAATGAAACACATGATTCAGTTCGCCATGGTGTGGTGAAACCAAACAATTGCACAAATACAATTCATTTCTCTCATTCCTTTTTCCCTCCTTCACCTCCATCCCTTCTTCCTTTCTTCCTTTTTTTTTAAAGGGTAGTCTTTTTTCCTGCATACAGATGACTTGTGATATAATATTTTAGTTATTTATTTTTTAAGGGAATTTTACTATATACCCCTGGCTGCTTGGCACCTACTATATAATGGGCTGGCCTTGAACTTGGGCAGTTCACAGCCTTGGCTTCCAGAGAGCTGCAGTTACAGGCATGCTCCACCTTGCTAGGCTAAATATTGTATTTTAACTTCCTGAGCAAAACCAAGAGTCAAAGCTCACTGAGCCCAACTGCCTCAATGATTTCATTTTGTTTCTCTTACTTTACTATGCAAGTGAGGTTCTTCGAAGTTCTGAGAATTTTCAAACGTTGAACAAGTATTTATCATATAATCCTTAATTTTGATAGAAGATTTGTGCATTTCAGAGTGGTTGACAGTTGTAGAAATAAGAATCTCCTGCCTAACTCTCAGCTAACCCAACTATCCAGGCTGAGCATTGGTGGTGGTGACAACTTGTTATGTAGTTATTCTCATTTTAGATTAGTGGTCAGATAGTAGGGTTCTTTTAACACACATAGTACCTATCTCTTAAGGTCCTCCCCTCCTTCCTCAATTCATTTCGTTTACTATTATTATTGTTATACTCATCACTTTCTGAAAATTCTTGTTCAGGGATTTAATTTTTAGTGATATCACTATTTAACTAAACATGAAAACTTGTGTTACATTTTGTGAAATGATTTACTGAGAACTATATTTTTCCAGAAATCTAAAATTAAAAAATTTTAAATCTCAGAAATACATGTCATATAGTAGATGCTGAGCTAATGCTAGATTGGAGCAAATACTTTACATGGCATTGTGTCGTGTCCTTGTATTGTTTATTAATAGTCTAAGTGAGGGTATAATCACAGTATTTAGAAGGATCTGAGCCCTGCTCTTGACGAGCATTTAAAATACACAATGATAAATTCTATGCTCTTAAAATTATTTCTATACATTCTACCTTGGTCTTTGATCTCCTTCCCTTTTTTTCTGTTCCCTTCTCTTCACCTTATTTAGTACATATTAAATCATAAACTCAAGACTTTTAAAATTGTAGCATGTTCTTGTTCCCTAAAAATAGGCAGAGGGCCATTGCTGCTGGACAGATATGCCTGTGTTTCTAATGACTTCCTTATTTGTGAGACGAAGCTCTTCTCAGGACTTGTCTCTGGTCTCAGTAAAGTGAAACTGTTCCTCTCTTTCTATCTGTAACTTTATCTTTACACTATCTGTCATTTGCTCCATGTTTAATCCACATTTGTGGCATAGAACACAACAAAGTATAGAAACTTAAACCGAAATAAGACGTGGTAAATGGTGGGATTTCACTAATAATGAAACGCTCTTGTGTTTCTTTGCTTAGGATCAGATTCTGTGATTTTACTCAAAGTGAAAGAATCTCAAACTCCAGCTTCCAGGTAAATCTAGGGGAAGGGTCAGCCATTTCTCCTTCCTTGGTTACAGTTTCTTTGCTGAAAGTCACATAGCATAAAACTGTCCCGGTTCAAATCTCTTTCATGTTTTTCAAATTATTTCACTGACTTCCTGTTCCATCTTTTTCCCTTCAGCCTTCACTCTTACGCTATTCTTTGTTATATCTTCCACCATACCAAGTTCTCCATGGCCTGCCGTCCATGCTGTAACCAGTTACCTTTCTGAAATCATATCTGATCATTAAAGAGGTTTAATGATGATTAAATTACTAAATCATCTCAAAGATACCTTATTAAGCTTAGGGTTAAGTCATAATATGTTAAGTCATAAGTGTGATGTAAAAAGAGCTCCTTCACAAGTCTTACATTCTCTGCCTTTCCTATAGCGAGTATTTATTTACCGAGAACCTCCTGGAGATCATGAGGCTTAACAATATATAAAACTACTAGAGCAACTTTACATATAGAGCACTAAGAACAACTGTGTTCAAATATTCTTGCAGCTCTTACTGTGTGCCTCAGTTATGTAAGAAATGCTATGTAATCTCCTTAGCAATGCGGTTTCCCTTATAATTTTCTTTCTGGAATCAACATATATCCCAGTCCGTTGGAGAAAAGTACTTGTCCCTACATTATTAATTTATTCAGCAGCCATAGTCTAATCTGTACCAGACAGTATTCTAGTTGTAGAATCCATTCCCAATCCAATTTATATTTTCATAAGGAGTGCAGACAAATTCATGACCTGTCCATGTGAATGATTCTTTTTATATCTTTGTATCATGTAATAAATATCTTCTCATGTTGATTCGTTTTTGTGTCATACACTAAAACCACACTCTACAGATGATTTCTGAGGCTTTCTGTCTTGGTTGTTATACTGGGTATTCGTTGTTGCACAGGTGACCAGCTCTCATTAACCTAAGTGACACTGAGGAGCCAGAACAGTGTTTTCATTGCCAGGTCACAGTCTAAGGGTGACTAGGGACTCAAAAGAACTCTAACCACACTGTCTCTTAACGCCCATAGAGGTGAAGTGACTTGCTCGGAATCACAGAACTAAATGGAGCCAAGTCTTCTAACTCAGTTTGATGCTCTATTGACTTGTTTTTATGGACCTCAAAGGTTTCTTTTGGAAAAGTGTTCTGCTAACATTTGTTTCTGTGATAGAGCCCTCAGTTAGGGCTTCACAAAGAGATAAAGCAGTCGAGATGGGGGATAGCTGTTGGAACAGTTAGTCTTCCTGTGACCCTACTCAGCGTTCCTTGCAGCCTTGCAGACTGGGAGTAGGCCTCACATGTTTGGAGTAGAGCTGATCGCACATGTCTGCCTTGGCATGTTGATTCCCTTTTACATATGCATTCTCTCATACAAGAGAACTGGCTCCTTCATTCTCCTCTGAGTGTGGGGCATCCTTTTAGTACATGTGTAATAGTCATGTCCTTACATTTTCAGTTACTATGTGTCATTTGGATATCTTTTACTCCATAATTGCAAAGTAGTTTTACAAACTGTTTAAATGATTGCTTTTGTTGGTGAAAATATTTGAATTTCCCTTAACTCCTGTTTATTTTATTTCCCCATCAATAGTTCTAATTTCTTCCAAGCAGAGCTATGGATCAAAGAATTGTAAGTTATTGTTTTTAATATTTTTTTCTTCTCACTTTATTTTCATTTAGAAAGAAATCAAACAATTAATTATCTTAATTGTTTTTGCTCAGTATGAATTACCTATTTGGTATTGGGCTTCTAAGATTTGTCTTCGAGTTACAATATTTGTTTGTTTTTCAGACTTTTTGTATTTTTATTTTATGTGTATGAGTCTTTTGCCTGCATGTATGTGTGTGCTTCTTGTGCATGCAGAGGCCAGAAGTGGGTGCAGGGTCTCCTGGAACTAGAGTTACATTGTCAGCCTCTATGGGTACTAGGAAATGAACTGAAATCCTCTGTAGTTCTTAACCCCTGAGCCATCTCTCCAGCCCCAGTTAGGAGATTTCTATTTTCATATTTGTCAACTATGTAACAATTTTTGAAACTAAATTGAGTTGGGAAATATTCCAAAGTTAGCTATGTATAAAAGTAAATGTTTTTATTTTTGTCCTTAAACTGTTGGGTTGTTACAGAGTTTGAGAAATAATTGAAAGTATTTAGTTTCAAGCACCAACACCTTTTCAGTTTTCCTCAGCTCTTGATCTTTGTAAGTCTAAGTACATACTGTTTTGCTGTAGCCTTGTCAGAATACTCTTTTCTCTGGGGCTCAGTTCTGCTTTTGAATTTCTAGACTTAAGCTTCACTCTTACCAGCCTTAAGAGGCACGATTTTGAAACAAGACTATTTATTTACAAGTAGCCATAGAAGTCACACCTACTATACTTAAATTACTCCAGTAAACATCATAGAATAGTTTAAATAACCACATTGTTCTACTGTGTCTTAAAACGTCAATGTAGAGATCTGAGTGGAGTCTGCATGGGTGAGCTCTATTTATTGCTGGTTCCCTACAGTTAACTACAGCAGAGACTTGGTCAAGTTTAGATGCTGGTCTTACTCTACTGCTCTCCATTTTCTAGAACTAGCGTTTATGATTCTCGAGCCCGGGAAAGATTGCGCCAGATTGAAGAACAGAAAGCCCTAGCACTACAGCTTCAAAACCAGGTAAGAAACAAAAAGTGTGTTAAGAGTAAAGTAAGAACTTCAGAGATGGCTCAGCAGCCAAGAGCACTGGCTGCTCTTACAGGGAACTCAGGTTCCATCACCAGCTCCCACAAAGCAGTTCACAACCATCGGTAACTTGAGTTGCAGGGAATCCATCACCTTCTTCTGGCCTACTCACAAACCAGACACCCACTTGACAACACATGCATACATACAGGCAAAGCGCTCACACATAAAAAGCAAAAATAAGTGAAATCTTTTTTTAAAAGATTATAAAATAAATAGCACATCCAGAGAGGGACTGCCGGGGAGGTTAGCTGTGCTTGAGTGATAGCTGTAGTAGCTAAGCATTTATTGTCAGTGGCTTATGTCCCAGACTGACTCATCTCACTGAAGTCAAATGGTAGATGTCTTTGTCCCACTTATGCTGAAGTTCTCTCTCCAGAGATTGCAGGAACAGGAACATGCAGTACTTGATTCCATAGAGCTACACCTTCGGGTACCTCTTGAGAAGGAGATTCCTGTCACAGTTGCCCAGGAAACCGGGAAAAAAAGTCATGAGTTAACTGATAATGAAGATGAATTTCCAGAAATTACAGAGGTAAAGTACACACTGAAAATTCTGTCGGGGTGGCAGTGGCACATGCCACTAATTCTAGCACTCAAGAGGCAGAGGCAGGTGGATCTCTGTGAGTTTGAAACCAGCCTGCTCTACAAAGCAAGTTCCTGAACAACCAGAGCTGTTACACAGAGAAAGCCTATGTCAAAAACTCAAAAAATTAAAAAATAAATTTTTTTAAAAAGAAAGAAAATTTCTACAGTAGATCTGGCACATGCCTTTAATCTCAGCATACCAGAGGCAGAGGCAAGTGGATTTCTGCATTTGAGGCCAGCCTGGTCTACATAGATGTCCAGACCAGCCAGAGTTACATAGTTAAATCCTGTCTTGAAAAAAAAAAAAATCTACAATTGCTTTTGTTTAGAAAGGATGCATTGGGCAGTTCTAAACAATTCAATAGAGTACCCTGATTAGTACATTTAAGTTGTATTTGTATAACTATACTTTTGTTTGTATTATGCATCAATGTTTACTTTTAAAGGTATTTAAAAATTATTAAGATGGAGTCAGGTGTTGGTGGCATATGCCTTTAATCCCAGCACTCGGGAGGGATAGGCAAGAGGATCTCTGTGAGTTCCAGGCCAACCTGGTCTACAGAGCAAGTTCCAGGACAGGTTCCAAAGAAATACAGAGAAACCCTATCTCAAAAAACAAACAAACAAACAAACAAATAAATAAAGATGGTTATGGATGGGTTTTAGCAGCTTCAATGAAAAAGTATATAATACATTTATATTTTATATTTCAAAAAATAACTTTTGTTACTGGGTATGACTCAGGAGATTTTGTTGTGTTTTGATTGCAGTCATGGGAATTGAGCCCATGACTTTGTATATGCTGGCTTCTCCTCAGGCTCACATAGGAAATCATTGATAGCACATTGTAAGCTGAGAAGTACTATTTCTTTTTGCGTTTTTGTCTTTTTTTTTTTTTTTTTTTTTTTTTAATTAGCCTACAAAGAAATGGGTTTCATTATGACATTTTCACACATTGTTTTTGTAATATTTCTTTTTAAGCAATAATCATTGTAAACATTTTAGAAGATACTTAGAAGTCTATGTGTATTTTTAAAATGTGTTCCTTAATTCACACCTCTTCCAAAACATTATGCACCTTCGTGGTGGAGTGTTTGCTTCACATGTGCAAGGCCCTATGTCCTAGATTTGATTGCCAGCACCATTAATATGAAAAGAACTGCATGTAACTAGTGACCATCATATGCTTCTTATAGTGTACTAAGTTCCCTATTTTATCTTTAAAGTAAAAATATTGTCTGTGGAAAGGACATCCAACTAAACCCATGGTGCCTTTACCCTGTGGTGCCTTTTGTGAAAGCTTCCGTTTCTTGGGAAACAATTTGAACCAGAAATATAAAACATAAAGAAGCCTTTTAAAGAACTTGGGAGAGTTGAGCAAAGGTTATTTCAGCCTTCAAGAACTGAAGGAAACAAGGTTCTGAACGTTGTGTGAAAAAGAAAGGAGTGGACTAGGAGGGTGGGCAGAATAACCAGGAAGAAAATGTTAGATAGACACAAACTGATGACAATAAACTCATAGGTAGTTGACTATGATAAATACAGTCTAGGGTCTAGTAGGAAGCCAAACCATTGTGTTTGATTTTTGTTTTAGGAAATGGAGAAAGAAATAAAGAATGTATTTCGTACTGGTAACCAAGATGAAGTCCTCAGTGAAGCGTTCCGATTGACTATTACACGAAAAGATATTCAAACTCTAAACCATCTAAATTGGCTCAATGATGAGGTAATGTTACACTTACTTTATATGCAGATAGTAGGTAAATATTAAGTGAAGACTAAAGGCATTATCTCAGTGTTTCTGCAAATGTGGTTCCTGGATGACCTGCATCTGAACCCCTCTCACAGCTTCTCCATAAGAGCAAATGAGATACAGGGAAGAGGGGCCTCTAACAAGCTCCATGCTGCTTCTGTGTGCTTTAGAGACTGAGCGTCTCTGGCTTCATCTGCTTTTGTGGGTACCAAAGGGAAGGGCACTCACACAGGGGAGTCTCACTCTGCCTAAGGCATCTGCGCTGCAGTTTGTATTTCTGAGCAAATATTTCATGTTTGACCTTATTGTAGCATGAGGGAATACTTTGGGATTTCTAGGAAGGAACCAGGTCTGCTTCCTTTGCCTCATCTCTTTGCATTAGGTTACTTACATTATACATGATAAGCTTTTCGAAGTAGCCTTCATTTGTTCATGATGTTTTTAAAGCTGATATTGAAAAAATAAATTATTTTTAGTGTAGTCAATATGTAACAAGAGGGGAATGACTTCACCTCCCAATTTCAATTAATTATATTAATTATGGCATGATCTTTAAATTGACATGTCTTCATCCTAAACCTTTAAAAACATATTACATTTTAGAAGGATTTATTGCTATTTTTTATTTATTATTATTGTGTACATATGACAGATTGAACATGTAAAAGACAAAGCACAGGAAGATTAAGAAACTCCCAGGGTCATGGATCTTATAGTAAATAGCAGAGTGGGGCTCAACCCAAGCAGTGGTATTCATTGTAGGTCGCTGCCTCAGGGTCTTGAATTGGATCTGTTAGGGATTAGATGTGTAGAACTTAAAACCATACATCATGCTCAAGACGTTGATTTCCTTGGAACCAACTGACATAGTCCATTGTCTGTGGCAGTAGTTAATTTATAAGATAACAATTTCAGAGACTTACCATTCCTTGAGTACTGTTTTTTGACTAGCAGTGGTAAGGAACATGTGATTTGATGTTAGAAACCTCACTCACATCTTTTTGGCTCCCAGGTAATAGAACACTGAATTAAATTATAGTAGATAAGAGCTCACCAAATTAACAAGGAAAACTAGTCAATAATAATCAAGTGTTCTCTTATAAATTGTTTTTGATCTATAATCATTTGCCATTTTTCTTTTCTTGCCACTGCTGGAGAAGAAAGTGACTTATTCCAAAAGGACTATCGCCTGTTTGTTATAAATTATGCAAAACCTAGGGGGCAGCGGTGAGTAGGGTATAAGCACAGTTCTTGCCTTTCACTGTGCAGTTAGAGAGATTCCTTACAGAGGCAACCTTCATCAGGGCATGGTTTCCATTCCCCAGCCCATGAGAGGCTGGACTTTGAGATTGCAAAGTTAATGGAAATTACGCGATTTAGAATCTGTTTCCCTACCACACCGTCCTGTAAAGTCCTCTGCTGTGTCCCTACCACACCGTCCTGTAAAGTCCTCTGCTGTATCCCTACCACAGCTTCCTGCAATGTCCTCTACTACAGCCCTACCATGGCTTCCTATAATGGTGGAAGAAATATTTTCCTTTTGAATTCAGAGAATTAACTTTAAAGTATGTATAAAGTCATATCTTCAAGATGATAACAAGAATTATTTTAAGAAGCACCAGTTTTAAAGTATATTTCTTAGGCTTAACTAGCTAACATTCTGATGAACTATTAGGTATACTTAACTTCTGATGTTTATTTTTTTTTAAAAGATTTGTTTATTTATTATGTATACAACATTTTGCCCCCATGTCTGCCTCATACCAGAAGAGGGCACCAGACCTCATTATAGATGGCTATGAGCCACCATGTGGTTGCTAGGAATTGAACTCTGGACCTCTAGAAGAGCAATCATTGCTCTCTTAACCTCTGAGCCATCTCTCTAGCCCCTCTGATGTTTATTTTAAGATACTTTTTTTTCATTTATGAATATTCAGTCTTTTGCAGGTAGTTCATATTTTTCAGTTCTTCCCTCAAATAAATACTCTTGTTAATAACCATTTTTGTTTTGTATGACCTGTCAGTATTATAGGATATATTGAAATTCTCTGCAAAATAAGGTAGCTCATAAATTATTCTTAACCATTGACAAAGGAATCAGATTTAGTTTTTAAAGAAAATAAAATCCTCAGCTCTCCAAAAGAAAAGAAGGAAGGGAAGGAGAGAAAATCCAGGCCAGCAAGATGGCCAAGCAAATAAGGATGTTCGCTTTCAGGGCTGCTGACTGCATTTGATCCCCAAGACGCATGTCGTAGGAGAGAACAACTCCCACAAATTGTCCTCTCACCCTCCACTCATGTCTGCCATTGTACACATATGTCCAAAATAAAAATAAAACCTAAGTATCCTATATTTGGGATATGTATAAAGCCATTATACTTCCTTTTCCCTGGTCTCCCTTCTTTTTTGAGACAGAATCTCTCTACATAGCCCTTACTGTTTTGGAACTATGTAGACCAGACTAGCCTTAAACTCACAGAGATCCACCTGCCCTTGCTTCCACAGTACAGAAATAAAGGCGTGAACTACCACTCCTGGCTGGCCACTGTTCTCTTTTACAAAAGAAAAATGTAAACCTTCATGGCTGTTTATTCAATAGATTATCAATTTTATTTTCATAAATGAACTTTATTTAAATTCTGTTCAGTTTCAAAGAACTAATTTGAGATTTTTACTGCCACATAAGAAAACCAAACTCAAAAATAGATTATGGGAACTGACTACCCTGTAAAAAAAAGAAAAAACAGACACTATAAAAGATTGATAAAATTGATAATGTAGATGAGAATCCTATACTGGATCAGGAAATCAGTCATTAAAAATGTCTAAAAAGAGGAAAGACAAAACATACCTGCAGAAGTAGATGGGAAGTAAGCATGAAGAAGCAAGTATTTTCAAATGGATATCAGTACCAGCAATTACTAATTCCTAGAGATTGAGTTCCATGACTTCTAAAATCATTCAACTTTAAGATTCTGTGTTAGTCATTCTGATAAGAGAACTATTTTAGACTAGATGCTTTTACTTCTTTGAAAACATGAGCATTGTTTGGTTTTGTTTTTTGAATTGTAAGATAATTTTTATTTTATTTTATCTTGTTATTTTATGTGTATTGGTGTTTTGCCTTTATAGATGTTTGTGCCCAATATGTGTATAGTACTCACAGAGACCAGAGGAGGGTTCTAGATTCCCTGAGGCTGGAGTTAGCCATTTTGTGAGTGCTGAGAATTAAACCCGGTTCGTCTGGAAAAGCAGCCAGTGCTCTTAATTACTGAGCCAACTCTCCAGCCCCTTGAGCATTGTTTTATAGATCATTAAATAAATTTAGAAATGCATGGAAATAGTTTAGGTTTTTGTACAGAGATAAAACTTTTGCTTCTGCTCGGGGTTTTGTAAAAGGGGAAAGATTTACCCTTTCAACTTACTAAAAAAGAAAAAAAAAGTTTCCTACATTCCATGAAAGTAGTACAGCAGTGGTCCCTGAGAGAAGTGAAATAAAGAGGAAATGTTCTATAGTTTATAAAAATGTGGTTGTGGAGATACCCAAGTTGAAATATGGAAAAAAGTTTGGCAAGACTATCTGTGCATTCTGGGATGTTATCAAGAAGCCTGGGTTTGCAATTGGAATCCTAGAATGGAAGGTGGAAGCATTAGCAATGTCTAAAAAACTGTTTAAGAAACTAGTGATGGTTTTTTTTTTTTTAAAAAAAAATTTTTTTAATTAGAAAAAAGAAGGAAAAAAAAGAAACTAGTGATGGAAGGTGTCCTATACTTGAAGCCTAGGGACTGACATCATTTATGAAATTTAACATATCCAAAGTAGAGGAAATGTCATACTAAAATTTATAATTTTAGCCAAAAGCCAGTATTAAAAGAGGAAATATTAAGTGCAGCAAGAAAGAAAGAGACATGTTAGTGCAGAGGACAAGGAATAGTTTGTTAGAAGCCATACAAGCCAGAAAATATTTTAAATACTGAAGAGTAAATTATCATGAATGCTATAACCAATAGCATTGGTTTCAAAGTAAGCTTTGCCGTTTTACTATTTATTCCTTGTAATGTTTGCACATGTGCACAAACTAGAGTGTATTTGAAATCAGAGGACAACTGGTGGGAATTGGTTCTGTCCTTCTACCTTGTGGGTTCCAGGGATTTAGCCCAGGTTGTCAGGTTTGGCAGCGAGCACCTTTACTTAAGGAGCTGTCTAGCCAGCTGAAAGCTCTGCTTTCTTACATAAGCTGCCAGCCGACAGGTGTTAAAGAAACGCTACATGTTCTTCAGGAACAAGGACATCAAGTGACAATCAGTCTGCAAAGGAATGAAGGGATTAGGGATGTTCTCATCTCTAAAAGAACGTTCACTAAAGCAGAACTAAACAAAGTATTGTTTTAATGGGACTTATGTAAGAAATAGATGTTTGATAAGCATAGCATTAAGGAGAAAACAAAACAGAAGTTCATGCTAACTACTGTCAGAGTCTCTTCCTTCTGTATGTGGTAGTGTAATGTTATAAACATAGATTGATAACATTAAAAACCTACATAATTCAAATCCTAGAGTAATGACTGAAAAACAAAAGCAAAAGTATAGTTATAAGTAATAGCACAGCTAAACTGCAATTAAAAAATCCAAAAGAAGGGGAAAAGATGAAGAAGAAATGCTACAGACATAAAAATGAGTGTGGTAGTGGATTTAACTCAGCCATATCAGCATCAAATGAAAATGATCTAGACCATCCCTGTCTCATAGAAATACACTGTGAGTCATGTGCCTTACTTTCTATGGAAAAGTAGTACCATTTTTAGAAGAGTGGTTGGGATGTGGTTCAGTTGATAGAATACTTGCTTTGCGTGAGGCCCTGGCTGTGACCTCTAGCATTAGATAAAAGAAAAGAAGAAGAACTAAATAAAAGAAATGTTTTATTTAACCCAGTTATATCCAAAATATGTCATTTTTGGTTCATAGTCCATATT